TTTTGACTATTAAACTACCAGTATGAAGGTGAATCAAAACAAGAGCTGAAATGTTCCTAACTTGTTGAAAATGTTTTGCTATCAAGATGAAACAGAATGATTCATGTGACTTTTCCCTAAAAGTACTTTGCCAAAAGCAGCAGGTGCCTGTGAAATGTTTGGTTTTTGCTGAGAGATTCCCTTCCTTGGGAAGTCCTTCAGCCTGTCCCATTGAACAGCTGCTGGGCTTGTCTTCCCTGTGTCCCTGTGCAGGGAGAGAAGCTGCTGCCACTCCAAGTGCTGGTTTAGTTGGTTGTTTTTCTTCACTGCTGTCCTCGTGTTTAACTCAGTTGCACAAGAACAGTTAACAAAATGAGTGCTTTCTTATCCTGTGTCTTGTAGTCTGGTGTGTTAAGGGTTTTCCTCTTGGCATGTCCTGCCCAGCCCTCCTGGATGTGCTGATGGAGCAAACAGATGATTCTGGGCTTGTTTTCTCTTTAATGTCCTGACAGTCCTTACCCTTTGCCTAAGGAAGGTTTCTTTGGAACAGGTCCTTTTTCAGGAGTGACAAGCACGTGGGGACGGCACACTTGAAACTGGACAAGCTGGAATCAGAATGTGAAGTTAGAGAGATCATTGAGGTATGTTTGGGGAGTAAGGTGTGTTCTTCCACTTAATATTTAAACACAAAAGGGAAATGAATATTTGGATAACTGTGTGTGTACAGTGGGCAGTTTGGTATCAGAAGAGTTTGGTACCTTGCCTGGGAAGTGGGGAGATGTGCTCTGCTGAACTATAATCCGAGGAAACTCGTGGCTGTGACCCCTCCCAGCACTGCAGCTGATCCTGCTGGTGATCTCTGTCACCTTTGGATTGTGGGCAGATACAGTCAAGGATGGCTGAGGCTCTGCACTCTGACACTGTAATTCAGATGTGCGCTAACTGCTCTTCTCTTTGTGGTTCTTGCAGATTTTTGATGGCAGGAAGCCCACTGGAGGGAAACTGGAGGTAAAAGTGAGACTCAGGGAGCCCCTCAGTGGTCAAGATCTTCAAACAGTGACAGAGAACTGGCTGGTCCTGGAGCATTAGTTCTGTGGGAGGTACGGATGCTGCTCCAAGGGGGATCTGGGTAGGACCTGACAGGGCTGCAGATAAACTCTGCTTGAGTAATGTGTCCTGGTGACATTGACCTAATTACACAGCTCTGGTTCATACCATTCCTCCTTGTATTTGTGGTGGGGAGTTGACATCATTTCATAAATGAGGTTACAGAACCTCTGATTAGTTTGTATCTCAAAGATGCTTCACAATCACTTGAAATACAGGGACAGCTTCTGGTGTCACGTTTACTTAGAGTAATACTTAGAAAATAAGATTGATAAGTAATCCATCTCCCTTTGCTTGATCTCCCAAAGCCTCTGTGCTCCCTCTTCCTTAGCACATTTTATTTTCTGGTTGTAAATGGCAGTTAAGTGGATATTCATCAGCTTCAGGGTGACATCACCTGTTGGCCACAGCTTTGCTTCCAAATGCTGCTGAATTGGACAGGTTGAGAGGCCTTGTTCCAGTGCATGAGTCTGAATTTGGACACTAAAGGGGCTGTTTTAGTGGTTTCCTCTCCGCCCAGGAGGTCAGGAAGGTGCTGTGAGCCTCAGCGAGGCTGAGGGACGTGTTCCCTGAAGTAACAACTTGGCCTTGTGCCGAAGCACTTTCCATCACTGGAGCTTAATAATTTTGCTCCATTGATTTTTCTAGTTGACCATCCAGAACCTTCATGTCAGCATTTTACATGTAATGTCACCTTGTCATCATCTGTTCTGTACTGCAGCAACTAGTTTCGATGGGGTTTGTGTGGTTTTTTTCCCCCAGATCCATTGGAATGTCAGAAGCCGTGGGCTGAAGGAAGGCAGAAGATGCTGCTAAGCTGCAAGCACCAAAGATGTTCAAGAATGCACTACTGACCCTAATGTCTATTTTGGTAACAGCCATAGTGCTTATTAATCCCCTCGAGGCAAACGGGAGGCTCTGGAAGTGCTGCTGCAGGGCTTGGGACCAGTCTGCACAAAATAGACAGAGTTGCCTTAACGTGGGACTACTAATGTAGCACCAGGATGAATGTTACATTAACTATGCAGAGTGCTGGGGGGAAAGTTGAGCCCCTTAAGAATTCCCTGAGGCAGTGCCAGAGCTTTTTGCTCAAGTCACAGGTAAGACCTTCACCAGAATTCCTTTTTCCAAGTGTCCCAGCAGCTGCTGTGGTTCAATGAACAGTCTGCTACTGCTTTTTCTGTTCTCTCCTGGCCAGGCCTGTTTGGGTTGGGGTCTTTTTTTTTTTTTCTTTTGGTTTCCTAAAACAGGAGAGATCTCAGGCAGCAATTTAGGGGTGGGAGTCCTTCCTCTGGGCACGCCCTTGGCACCTGAGGTTCCAAAGGCTGCAGGGCTCCTTGGCAGCAAGTGTTTACAGACCCACATTTTTGTTCTGGCTACCAGTTGTCTGCTGTGCTTGCTGCACTGCTTGTTCAGCACAGAAGGGTACTGTGCCTTCATCCTTTGTTTCGTTGAGGTTTTAATTTAAAAAAGAAGAAAAAAAAAGGTACACTAAACTCTGCTGCTTCCCAAATGTTCCTTGTATTTTTACAAGAATAGGCTTTTACAATTCTTCCAGGTGATGGGGAAAATAGTCACTCTGTCATGTAGAAAACTGGATCATGACTTATTTTCAGGAATGCTTTTGATCAGCAGCACACAAAAAGTGATACTAAAGCTGTTTGTGTTTTTTACATCTCTGTGGATGAACAGAAACCAGGGATCTCCCAGGGCAGGATGTGCTCCTGCCCAGAGGGTTTGGAAGGGCAGGCTGGGAGACAGGACAGAGTCCAGACAGGTCAGGCAGCGCTGCCTCTGTCCTTCTGAGCAGATGAAGACAATACAGTGTTTAGTTTTTAATTTCAATAAATTTAATATACAAAACTACATGTTGAAAATAAAAATATAATATGCAGTTTTTTGCAGTGTTAACTAACTGAATTTTAAAAGTACAATTTTTTTCTAAACAAGTACTCATTTCTTAACAACATGGTAATTAAGGTCATTTCAAAGGCTATGGTCGAAGCAAACATGTCAGTCACCAGTTGATAGTGTTTTGCACAAACATAATCCAAACCTAAAAGACTTCTGGGGCAAAGGAAGAGAAGATAAACATTTTTCACCTCTTTTTACTGCATTATTGAGCATAACAATGCAACTAAAGTGACTGGAAAGCCGCTGCTGTGGCAAAGCTGGAGTGCAGGCTCGAGGAGGAAGATCATTTCCAAGTTTCTGGAATGCTCTTCCAGGTGCTGAGTGGTGCCTACATCGTGGAGTGCCGTGTGTCCCAAAGTGCAGGACCAGCGTTCAGAGGGGGATCCAAGTGCCCTCAGCCCAGCTGGGCTGCACAGACACCTCAGCAGGAGCAGTGGGGGGGGTCACAGCTTAGGCTTGGCCCAGCAGGAACCATTAAACGAGCTGCATTAAGCCACCTTTTCCCAAGTGCCAGAGGTAAGGCTTCACCTGGATGAACACCCTTTCAGGTGGGAGTGGGCTACCTCTTGCTGGCCAGCTTTTTTTGTGGAGTTGGCCCTAGTTTGTGGAGTTGGCCCTGGTTTCCTGGTCTGCCTTCTCCAAGGGCTGAGCGGTGCCAGCTCTAATTTGGAACATTGGGTTTGTCAGACTTTGCTTTTTTTTTTTTTTATAAAGCAGCAGCCATTTATTCCCAAATGCACTCTTTGCAGGCACAGGGCTGTGTGCACATCACTGTGTGATGTGTTACCTTTTCCCTTGCCCAGCCAATGGTGTTTATTTATTTAAAAACTAGAGCCTCAGTCTCCCAGGGGCCTTGCACTCCCCTTGCCCTTGGAAAGGACGCTGGTGTTACCCACTCACAGCACAACCAAACCAGGCCCTGCTGCCTCCCCCAGAAGGGACTGCGGGGAGGGACCAGGCAATGTCTGACACACCATAAACGTTCACCATAAATTAGTACCTCTCTTCCCAGATAAACCATCTCTGTAGACAGGAGGAGAAGCCTTCACCCCTCTTCCTGGGAGGGACTCACAAGAGCTGCTTTGCACGACTATGGCTAAACAAACCAAACCCCTTCTCCTGCTTCCAGCTCTTCCCACTGGTTAGCAGCTTTCCATGGAGACAGTAAGAACATGGAACCACATTTCCTCTGGCTGATGCTCAATTCCAGCTTCTTAATGCCCTGGCAGACACCAGCAGCTGCTCTCCTTCCCAAAGCCCTCTCAAGTGAGACTAAGAGCACTGGGCCAAGTGCAGGTGTTCAGAGCTGCCCACAAAGCCTTTTTCAGCAGAACATGCAGGAACAGCCACTCTACACTGTTACACAGGTAAGCTCTGACAGGGGCTGCAGGATGAGGTGCAAGCTGGATACGTGACACGGGCGTTACACTACCGGGAACAGCAGGGAGGGGACACGGCTGCCCTGGGCGGTGCTTGGCTTTAGAAAGCAGGACCTACTGGGGGGGAGGAGGAACGAGATATAACTGCACTTCAGGGCTAATGTTTCCTCTGCTTCATACAGATTTGTAAACAAGGTACAGAAGAGCAGAGTTGTTCTAGGACATTACAGGAACCTGCCGAGGTGAGGGACTTCATGGTAACGAGAGGAACAAAGTAAACCAGTCTATGCCACATACACAACTGCAGGTCACAGAACCCTGGGAGAGATGCCTGTCCTTCTGCTCCTCTGGACACAGACAAGGGGAGTTATGGCTGGGGAATCATAGAATCAGATGGGGTGGAAAGGACCTCTGAGATCATCAAGTCCGACCCTTGATCCACTACCACCACAATCTTTCCATAGTTCTCAAGGGTTTCTCCAATTGTATTTCAACCAATAATCTGGTCAAAATAATGTAAACGTTACTGTTCAGTGTCTGCAATACCCACGAAGGTTGTGATGAGGTCAAAACGGAGGGCTTGGCTGCTGGTTCTTACATGGCCATCTACAAACACTACAAGGTTGGAGTTTCACTTTTTATTTATGCCCCAGTGATCTTTGCACCCTTTTGAGCATTGAGAGTACAGGACTGAAAGTCTTTAAACATGAGCATTTTCCTAAACAGTAACAGAAGTGGATTAGCTGCAAGGATAGCATAGCCATGTTGTAGTATAGAAGCTGCCCTGATCCTCTGGTTGTTGACAATGCATAGAAGATTTAGAATTATGGAACAACTGTCCCTCCCCCCTCCCCCCACTTCCCCAATAGTGTTAACAAAAGCTTAATTTTTCCAGTTTTAAAGTGCAAATGATTCAGATACAACTGCTGCTGGAACAGGTCTGAACAGAAAATGAAGTCCTCTTATGAGATGTTTTCCAGAATATAAAAGATGAGCTCCATTATGACCGGCCCCTCACTCAACTGACAGGCCCCTCCATGAATCACTGGCACTAAGGCACTGTCCAGGTCATTCATGTATTGAGAGGGCAGTGGCTGTCCATTGCTCCCAGCCTGGTAACCAACCTACAAAATACAAAGTAAGAGCAGGTTTTAAGAGGGACATGAGGCAGGGAGGGAGGAGGAGCTGTGGTCTCTGCCTCAGGAGTGGGTGCTTGAACTGGATCTCGCAGGCACTAAAGCAGCTTTATCAGCTGCTTTTGCACTTCTGCTTCCTGTGGCTGCCTGAGCAAAAGAAGCCTCTTTTTTCTCCTGCTTTGTCAGAGCAGCTCCCTGAGAGCAGCAGGAGCTGCCCTCAGCGTTATCAGCTTAGGCTGGGCAGTGTTCAGGAGCTGGGTGACACCAAGCCCAGCTGCTCCCAGCCCAGCCCAGCTGTCCTGGGGGACTCAGCTCTGCTGGGAGCTGTGGCCGTGGAGCCCTCGAGAGGACCTTCTGTCCACTCCTTGGCCTCAAATGCAGACTGGGATCTTTTAGGAGCAGCCACCTTGTGAGCAATGGTTTGTGCCCACACAGGAGCACATTTAATACACTCCTGTCTTGAATTGCTGGTGAAAAAGCCACTTTAGAGCCTTCTCTGAGCACAGAGCAGGTGCTGCTCGTGCCATATGGGGGTCAAGCCCGTGCTAATTCAGGCTGGGCATGGGCTTTCCAGCTCTTAACAGATGTCCCAAAACACCAAACAACAGCCAGCACCACCTGATTAGCATCTGCTATGGGTACTTCAGCATTCTGGTTAAAGTGCTGTATTCCCTCTTTGGGGAACAACCCCCCAGTTAAACCAAAACTATTCCAGACTTACTTGATCCGAGTCCAGGGTGACACGCAGACCCAGCTTAGTCATTCCATCTTCTTTCAGCAGTTTCAGATGAGGACACAGAGCCAGACAGAAAGCCTTTGCCACGTTTTCAGTCAGCCTGCTGTGATCAGCTGGGTCACTCAGACTGCTGTGTTGCTCATCGTTTTCAAGGAAAAACACCTGAAGGGAAGAGTTAACACAACATAACACTTGGCTTTTCTAGAAAATTTGGGTTACTGACATGCCATTTAAGTCAAGTCACCTTAGGGGGGGGAAATAAAAAAACTTCAGAAGATTTAAATAGTCCTGTCCTCTACCATCTTGGTCAAAAGCTTCACTGTGGAAATTCACTATGTATGACACAAAGTTTTGATGAAAAACTGCTTTTAAACAGATGTTAATTTCAGAAAAATTACATTTTTAGAAGAAGCCTGAAGCTGTTGTTGTCACTTGTTTCTTTTGAGCCCATTTGACCTGGGGAAAAAAAGGACACATAGGTGGCATGCAGCAGAGTGACACACTTACAGGAATCTTCTGACATCAGCATTTGTGTGCTGGCAGAGTCACAGGTAACACCAGCTGTGCAAGCATTTTGAAATGATTGATGCCACAGCACTTTCATTTTAACATGAACTATTTCAGAGAAGGTGGCTTGAAATTTTTAAAAAACAATTTCTATGAAGATTTGTCTCCGTATAAAAAGGCAGCTTTTAACTCGGATGCAGATGAAACCAGCTGTTCCCTTGTGTAATGCAGTCCCCAAGTGCTCTTCTTGTCCCCACCCCGTTCCACAGCCCTGTCAGCAGAGGGGGCCAGAGCAGCACAGGCCGGGGTGACAGCAGGGGGAGGGTGTTGTGTCCTGCACGGTATCTGCCCTTGCAGGCAGGAAAGGCAACCCAGGCTTGTTCTGGGGCATTGGCTGCTGTCGTTTTGGTGAGCTGGGTGAGCAGGCCCAAGGCAGAGGAGGCTGAGGCTGCAGCCCCAGTGCTGCTGTTGGCTCAGTGCAGTCGGGTGGGACAGACTCACCTCCGTCCACCGAATGACCTTCCCGTTGGCCTTGTACTCCGAGCCGTGGAATATCTTCACGCTGGTTATGGATTCCATGGATTTGCCATCAATAGGGCTCACAACGCTGCAAGAGGGAGGGACAAGGGTCAGTTCCCAGCCAGCAGAAGACGCGAGCTGGGCAGAGCTCCCTTGGAATCAGGGCAGCCCCTGGACGGGCTCACGTGCACAAAGCAGGGGCTCATTTCCAGCACAGCTGCTCTCCAGAGCTGGGGGCTCTGAGGGGCTACCACAGCAAAGAGGAGTTTCATATAGATTGGATTTCTGTTCGTTTGTAAACTCTGTAGGCCAGCAATACCTGAAACACGACTTACACAGCCCAGGATTTGGTTACAGAACCCAAGACTGATCTGGAGAGCCTGAAACTACAGAAATACCCTTTCTAGGTGCTGAGTCCTTAAATAACAAATACATCCCAACAGCACTTTACTGGCATAAATACTTAAGCTGCCAAATCCACCTTTCTTTTGGCTTAAGTATCAAGTGTCCAAAGATACTGTTGATGTTCAGCAATTTTATTTCCAGCTCTACTTCATGCAAACTAAGCACCAAGAGAGCAAAGTGGCCACAGTGTGCAGGATTCAGCACTGAGTGCTGGACACAGATTAGTGGTTTCCAATAACTGGATATTGGCAATGGCAAAAAATCCATAGCATTGGCAATTTTCTAAATTGATGCCCCAAAGCTCTAGTATCTCAATTCCATTTTCATGACAATTAATTGCATCTTATCACTCAAAAGAGAGGCACAGACTTTTAATTCCTATTGATTTGAAGACTCACATGCCTTGTAAGATCAATTAAAAATTTTAACAGAATCAGTCACCAGTGTCCAGTGACTGCTCTTCTACTTACCCCTTACTAAAGTTTTTGTCATCTTCTACCCACTGAATATGAACTTGTTCCTGAGGGTCTTCAGCATCTACTTTGCCACAGGTGATGGTGAAGTCTTTCATCTCTCTCAAGGCCTGCCTTAAAGAGTCCATGTTCTCAGCAGTTATCTGGACCATCACTCCATCTGGGGAACCAAGAAATGCTCATAAGCCAAGATAAGCCACACCAAACAGAGCCAACATAGAAAAAAACCCCAACATCCTTCCTCTGCTTGCAACACAAAAGTCTAATGTTCATTTTTAGGCATCATGGGCAGCAATGCTCTGTAAAACCATTTCTGAACTCTCATCTTCCCAAAACACAGCTCTGCTGAGTGCTGACATGGGAAACAACGGTCAGGGCACTCAACCCAAACCAGTCACAAGCTCCCAAGCCAGGTATGTCACATCTTACCCTCATTTTCTCATGACCCTGTTTTACAGCATCTGCACAAGTCCCTCCTCATTAGAGGAAATGGGGTGGTTTTTGCTAAAAAGTAGGATAAAGCTGAAGCAGCAGGATGATCCCCAGACCCAAGGCATAGGAGCAGAGCCCTGCCAGCTGCAGAGCTGAGCTGTGCTGAGAGGAAAGCAGTGTGTTTGAAGAGGAAAGCAGTGTGTTTGAAGAGGAAAGCAGTGTGTTTGAAGAAGCAGCTCAGTTCTTACCTTCCACTATACTGGATTTGGCAAGGTAGCCTGAAGAGGATTTTAAAGCTCCACTGAACACAAAGAAGCTGGCACCAGTCACTGCAACAACAACAACAACAGGAGAGGTTTAAGCAATGCCTTACACAAGATCAGGTATCACAGCTCTATCAGCCATGGAGATGATTAACCTAAATAAGAAGAAATGCTGCTTGGAATTATGGTGACTGTATTGCACATCATAGGCTTGGATATGCAAAGGCAAATCACCCAGTTAGTTTCTAAACTGGACAAGAGTTTTTGTCAAGCTTAATGAATCCTCCTATTTCATCACTCTCCCTCTCCCTGCCTAAACACCTCTAAATTTTAGAATTACTAATTTGGGGTAACCAAGTACATAATTACCTCTAAGTGTTCCCACACAGCTGGCGAAGATTGTGAGTGAGCTGTTCATGGATTGCACTGTAATACCAACCCACTGACAAGGCCACAGCTCAGAGCCACCTGACAAAGTAAAATTATCTTAAATGACTACTACTAGGCACCATGAAATTCCTGCTGGGAATCCCTCTTCTTGTCCCACTCGTGAAGTTAACAGAAGTCAGACAGGACCGTCGGTCCTGAGTGACATCCCATGCAGTGTTCTCGCTGGGATGACTGGGGATACTTGCAAAACATCAATGTCAGCCTCTGTCTTGTTCTCATTTGGAGACTGTATAAATTTCCTTGCCAGAAATGTTCCCCAAACCCCCATTTAAATTCTCAGCACACTGCTGCTGCAGCCTTTCAGCCTACTGTAACAAAAATACAGCCTGGAAATCAGATGGTCTAATTAAGGTGAACATGAGAAGTTTCCTGCAGCTGCATTATTAAAATGCTGCTGCTGTTGTTGGTTATTCCTATTTGCCTTTCTCTTATACTAAATCTGATCTTCTTCCTTTCACATAGTGTAGGTCAAGCACAGGCAACCACAACCTCACCTGCACCTCCAGTAATGCCAAAGCCAGCTCATTATTAATGGAGAGGTGTTGCCTAAGCCACTTCCAGCACGGTGACCTCTGGAGCACTGCAAGTCCTGAGCTGTCCTGTGCCAGCAGCATTGCCACAGGGACAAGGGAGCAACTGCTCTGGGCTTTATTTTCTGTTTGCTTCATCTCGGAAGTTGCTGAAACACATCTCGGGCAAAGTCAGAACAGCACCATCGACCCACAGAAGCGTGACGTGGGCTGCACAAAGCCTGCAAACCAGTGTGCTCCTGACACCTGAGCTCATGGGGTCTGCGAGGGGAATGAGGCACCAAGGGGTGAAGGGCAGATGGGCAACTCCTCACATTGCAGATCCAGCTCACAGAGCTGCCCAGCAGTGATGCCAGCGCTCAGAACGATTTTCTCTGACAGAACCTCAATGAAAAGGCAGCCAAACCCAGCTGTGACTGATTCCCAGAGCCCCACAGGGCTGGGACAGCAGCACCCAGGCAGAGCTGAGCCCCTCTCACCCTTCCTGGGCTGGTTGTGGATGCTGATGGCCTGTGTCTGGTAGTTCCCATCGTCGTTCTGCACACACACGAGGTGCGAGTCGGCCTTCTCGTTGAAGCAGGCGCCCCCCGCCAGCACGTGCTCGTTGGATTTGTTCATGGCTTTCATCATCTGCAAACACAAAGGGTTAGCATTCCCACCCACTTCAGCAAGCACTTCCAGAAACAGGTGGTTCTTGGGGCTGTTTAAGTGGACAGAACAAGCTTCCCAACAGAGCTCGTGTCCCACGTCAGGTTTCAGCACTCGGAACCACAAACTGCTTTTGAGAAGAGGGTTCAGGTCTTTTGCTGCTTGGATTCTTTAAACTGCCACCTTTAGTGCCATTAAGATAAATGATGTCAGGGACAGCTGAGCTATGAAAGCTGCAAAAGCTGTTACCTCTACTTGTTTTTAAAAATACACAGAAAAAAAGAAAATTAGAAAAACCCTGGGAGGAAATATCTGGCTTGTTTACACAACTCCAGTGGCTTAGGACATAAATCAGAAATGCCACACGGGCACTCAGATTGGGGCCATTTCATCCGGTTCTGCCAGGTCCAGACACCAGAGCTACAGTGTCTCTCTGAAAGGACTGGTGAAACTGGAATTAATGTTCCCAATTAAAACACTTTCCTAAAAGATTCAAATCATAGATATCCAGAAAGAATTTAAATTCTCTGCAGAGGAGGCCTCCAGAAAGCATCCAGTAATATTTGTGATGCCTCTGCCCTTTGATTTTGCTGCTTATCATCTGACATACACCAAGTTACACGCCTTGGCAAAACGCTCCTGTACGTTGTATAGTTCCTTTCTTTCTCTCCACTCTTCCTCCTCAGGGAGGCACAGACTATGTGATTTTTGATCCAAAAGAAAACTGAGGGAGTCATCTAGCTCTGGAATTTGTTTCAAACCCGAAAATGACATGTTTGCCTAAAAGAAAACAAGTCAAACTGAATTACACAAATTCCCCCACAGTGAAAACCCCGGCGAGAAGGAAAATGCGGAATTATTTGACATCTCTTAGCAGCACTCAAAACTCCCACCCTCTCCTTCCTGGAGATGATGAGCATTCAGGCTACACACAACACATCTGTCTCTCTGAGTCCAACACAAAACCTTAATTATAGTGTCAGGACCATCAGCTGATGCTCACTGCTGACAAATGTGCACAGGTGTAATGTTTGGGGAGGAAACTTAATTACGATTTTGCATCAAACAACAGTGGGTTTCATTATCCAGTTTATCATGTCATGCTCCAGAAAGAAGGTTTTAGCTCCAGAACAGCCATCTGGGTGGAGCTCAGCAGTTGCCTTCAGCACAAGGAACAACTGGACATGGCAACTGTGCTTCATTAGAAGGTGACTGATTAAGAAATTTTGCTGAGGGACTAAACATGCAACTAAGGATTTTGTAAATAATTTAAATAGTTTGAAGACAAAAAATATGCATTTAATAGAAAACTACATATTAATGTGTAATTTGTTCATTACATGTTGAATTCTCCACATTTAATCCATGCATGAGATTTTGAATGAGTTTTTAATTTTTGAGATACTCTTGAGTGATTGACTGCTTTACATGGGAAAAAAAGTAAATGTCTTGTGGTTTAATTCATCTCAATTTAAACTAAACTCAGATGAAAAATTTCTACTAATTCAACCTTTCAACTGGATCACAAGCAATAATGTTAAATAAATAACTCTTTCTCAATTTAAAAAGTCCAATCCTTGCTCACCACTGGCAAGAGAACCCAAGCACGAGGCAGAGGTTTTGCTGTTGGGTTCCCTGGCACAGCAACTCCCTCCCAGCCCTGCTCAGCCAGTGTGTGACACGAGTGGAGCTGACACCTTGCGAGGCCAGGCAGGGCTGGCACTGAACTGCAGGCTGTGCCAATGCAGACAATTCACACAAACCTCCCTGACCTCTTCCATTCTCTCACAACTGCATCAAAAATTAAAGCACCTTTTAACAGACCCTTTATCTTCTGGCTTCATCAATTTCATCTTTTCAAACTTCACCTAAGAACACTTTTTCTTCTTTTCTTTCCAACGAATGTCTTTATTCTCAGGGATTTTACTCAAGTGTTTCTTGCAGGGGAATTCCTTCTTGAGATAAAGCTGCATTCTGCTCTGATCTTATAAGAACTCTTGTAAATACCATTTGCCTGGGAGGTTTGCTCTCTCCCCAGCTCTGATTGGTTTCAAAGTACCAAGTTACCCCCTTCTCCTCAGACAGAACACAAAATCAATCACCTTCTCCACTGTTCACTTTCATTACTGTTCAAACACCTCCTCCCCCAGCTGTCTCAGCAGCACTAACTCCTGCAGATGCTGATTGATTTTCTCACGCCAGAAATCAAGTATGAAATTTAGATGTTGAGGGAAATTTCACATAAAATAATCAGCAATCCAACAAACACTACAAAACGCTTTCAGTGGGAAGACACAACATAGATGAGAAAAGCTAATGCATTTTTTCTTCCTAGTTTACCTCGAGTGTAAAGTCTATCAATCGATTTGCTCAAATCAAACATGTTTTACACTTTGTATGTAAACAGCTCAAAAACCTGAAGGAAATGAGAGTTTAAGAGTTTAATTAATACTGAATGGAACTGTGTTCTTCCTGTGCAGCCACCCCCATTCACTTCCAAAAGCCTTGTGCATCCTGCACTTCCTCTTGGCTTTTGAGGCATTTTTCCCTAGTGGTGGTGAATAACATAAAAATTCCTTTAGATCCCAGGTACTCCAGCCACAAAGAAACTGTACAGAAATGTATGAATGATAAGCATTACCTCATTATATCTGTTGCTAGGAATTTTGATGCTGGTTTTTCTGACTTCCATATCAACCACTAAACCTTGGACCACAGGCAGTGTGTACTGGTAATTTCTGAAGTCCTGGTAATTTAAAACAAGTTTTTAAGTTAGGCACAATGATCATCATTAACACTGGAGGTTTCATAACTCCCCTGGTGAGTATTAGTTAACCCATTCAAATAATTGTAATCAGTGACTGAAAGGCAGGGAGGGACAGGGACACCACAGCCTGTAACCTGTGTCATTGCAGTAATTGTAATTGTGACTGTAAGGCAGTGTAAGTATTTTCACTCATTTTCTTACATCAAAATTAATATTCTCCAGCCTTGAATATCATCACTGTACATAGTGCAACCTGCTCTCTGTGTTCTGTTACGTTACTGGATGGAGATATTAGTTTTTCCAGCAGTGAGATTAAGTCATGCATCAAGGAGAGTTTTCTATATCGAAAATATTTGCAAAGTAGAAAGAGATAATAACTTCCCTTCAGTTGAAGCACTGTGTAATCAGAGAGCTGTGACTGCACACTGTGATGACCCAGCATTTCTGAGGAAGCAATCTGAGCAAATAATGCTCTTTTTTCAACATCCAAACATCCTCCGGTGGCCAGGTTTGGGATGTTGATGTGGGTATCTGGTTACAACTCAGTGTGTCGATGAAAGCTCATAGCCACTATCAGCACAGCTGGTAAATTCATCCAAATCCCCACTATCTCCCCTGGCATCTCCTAAACCTGATGCCACGTGCAGCAGGAGTTCAGTCCTCCCCACACTGAGGGAACTCCCAGGGACGGAACACGCGAATTCCACGGCAGCACTTACTGCAAGGAGGTTCATGATCGTGTGTCCAGTCTCTCCAAACAAAGGCTTACGGAATCTGACACTAAAAAGCGGGCAGGGATAAACTGGAATAAAACACAACAGGTCAGATTGTCATTTACACACCAAGATCCTGCAAACCAGACTCAAACAGCATCTCCTCAGCTGAACGTGGGGAGCAGCAGCTAAAGAAGAGGCTGGAGAGTGCAGTGTTTAAAAAGTGAAATTGCAGAAGGGTTTAAGGCCATAATGCATCTTCCATGTGTGTCACTGCCCCAGAAACGAGAATAATTAGGTGGAAAGCTGACAAGTGCCACACTGCAGCACTGAACCTGGTGACCTGGACCCTGATGGCAAAGATGGCCTTTCCAAATGCTTTTCTGAGCCTTGGAAATGGCTTCTTCCTTTTCTTGTACAACCCTCCTGCTCCTCTCCACTATGGCATCGTAAACCTTTCAGTTCTGTGGCTGACAGGTGGGACATTCAAGTGGTAATCCAGATTATTTCATTTGCTGTTTTCATTATTTCATAAGAAGGTGGCAAGCTCTACAGGGCTACCTCACAAACAATTAAAAGGCCATTTATGGTATGTCAGCAATGTGAAATACCTGCATTCCTTGGCTGCCTGGGCCATACCTGTAAAACAGCTGTGATGCAGCTCCCAGGGCAGTGCATGGATCTGGCTGCCTGATGTTATGATGCAGCAGGAGCCACCACAATGCCTGGATCGTGACTCATGCAGTGACACTCAGTGCCAAGGCTTCCTAAACACATGTTTGAAGGAAGGTTCTTAAACTATCCTCAGGCAAACACTCAGCCTGATTTCCCCAAATGCCACACATCTCCACAGCTCCCAGTGTGGTCAGACGGGGCTGCAGGATTGAATAACATCGTGAGGATTTCCTGGTGGGAATCAGCGCAGTGTCTGAAAGCCCCACAGCCCCCACACAGCGACCAACTGGTGCTCAGCGCCCCGAGGCATCGACAAGGGCTGCATTTCCCGTGGCTGTGAACAGCAGTGTCTGTGAACAGCAGTGTCTGTGAACAGCAGCTCAGCTACATCCCAGATGCCCCGAATTCCCTGAGCCTGAGCCGTATGGCTGATCTGCGGATGCTCAGCAGATGTTTTCTGCAAATCCAGCAGCCCAGAGGGACTCCTGAGCTGATCTGATCTGCTGCAGAGCCAGCAGGGCTGCACAAATGGCTCAAATCTGACAGTTCCACCAGAAAACAGGAGGGAAGAAAACCCAGGAAACCCCGGACACAAACGCAGCACCTTCCAGGAAGAGACTGAGGAGTGACCTGCAGTCACAGCTGCCCCAGCACATGGGAACGTGCCTAAATCCAAACCACAGCTGTGGAAATGATGCAAAGCCCAGCTTCACAACGTGTCAGAGCAGGTACTTCTGTTTGTCACTATGAAAACATTTCTTTCTGTGCTACAAAACAGATGTCACATCCAAAATATGGGCATTCTGTTTGTTTGTCTAAATATTGATGGGAATAAATGCACTACTTCAAAACCCCTCATGGATACACAAAAAACCCTACACATCTTTAACATGAATGTTTCTTTGGACAAGTTTAACCTACAGTCCTTATCCTCAGAAGGCCAATTTTAGGATTTTCTTTTTGCTCTCCAGCAGTGTAAGTATTTTGTGAAAAATTCACACTGTTCCCAAAACTTCAAAAGCTAAAATTACAAAATCCCTCTAAAGCACATTCTAAAACTTAATTTTGTTGAAATGTTCCGGGAAGAAGTTCTGGGGAAAATTAACAACAGATCATTTTCACGGTAATTCGGATTCATGACATGTGCTGATTAAAACTGCAGATGGGCAAGACATCCAATTTTTGGCCCATCGGGGAGGACAAACCCGCAGAAGTTATTGCAGCTCAGTGTCTGCTACTCACGCCTGTACTCAGCTCCGAGTCTCAGCATCAGCCGGATGGGGAACACTTTAGCCCAGGGAGTCTCCCATTTCTGGATGAGGATGCCAAACAGGTACGGTGGGGTTGGGAGCACCAGGTCCTGCAGGGACTGATACGTTGCTGCAACGTACAAGAAGCCTCCGTGTTCTTTGCTTCCGAGGAAGCTCTGGCTGAAAAAGGAGTGTCCCAGGTTGCCAACGATGTTACCTGTGGAGACACAAAGGTCATTACTTCACTAGTTTGAGAGCTGTGTCAAGAATGCCAGGAGTTTTTCAGAGGGGAAACCAAAAAATCCATATTAAACTCACTTTGCTTCCTGAAGCACTTCTGTGTATTACTCACACCTGAAACAACAACACAGAGCTCCAACCTCTCCTGGAGAGCAGGGAGGCATTTGCCTCAATCATTCCTGTGATCTGCCTGTTTCACAGAATCCCAGAATGGTTTGGGTTGGAAGGGACCTTAAAGCTCATCTCATTCCAACCTCCTGCCATGGGCAGGGGACACCTTCCACCAAATCAGGTTGCTCCAAGCCCATCCAACCTGGCCTTGCACACTTCCAGGGATGGGACATCCACAGCTTCTCTGGGCAAGCTGTGCCAGGGAGATCACAGGATAGCACAGGTATCACAGAGCAGCTCAGGCCAGTGTTGCTGCCAAGGAAATGGTTCCTGCAACTTCCCCCTGGCACTACAAAAACCCCCACAGAAAGCCTGTTTTCAGTATCTCCCAGATACTCAAGGGATTTCCACTGCAGAAGCTGCTGATGATTGAACCAAACTTTTCTATTCAGCTGCAATTTAAGGAGGGCTGTGCACCTGGTCAAACAACTAATGCCCACTGGTTGTCCTTCCATTTAGGCAAACCACTGGGGTGCCTGCTCAGACACGTACTGCAGATCTGGGTCATTTCAGGAATTACACAAAAGAGTGTTTATTTCATTAGTACACTTAATGTAAAATGCAACTGAGAGACACAGGGGAGAAACACCACTAATTTTTATTCACATTTTTACTCTTTGATGCTCTTAATTTCCCAAAATGTTTACACTGGAATGGCTGACTGACTCTGAATGTTGATTAGGCTATTATAGCATCCAACACAGCATTTCACGTCAAAGCGAAGACCCATGGTGTGATTCCTTTTATCAAATGACAACAGCAGCAGGCAAACAATGTACAGAACAGCTGATCACAATTCTCCATAGGAAGATGTGAATATTAATAGTGCTGATTTGCTCTCAAAGAAAAACACAAGTAATTTCAGGGAGCATGGTGTGCTCGATCACACCGCTCCTGAGGAACGGGATTGAGGTACTCATGCAGACCTCCTGGGCTCCTGCTGCAATCCCAGGCTTTCCCACCTGCAGACTTTCTGCTCTTTCCCCACCACCTCCTAATGGAGTGTATCTGAACTCAAGACAGTGATGTGCATGGGAGAGTAAATGGAGCCTTTCTCCCTTTTACACACAAGGCACACACAAACAAACACGAGGTTTTAAGCAGGTAAAAACGTGAGCCACAGAAGTGCAACTCTGACATCCTCAGTAATACAACCTGTGAGAATAACACAGCCATTCCAGCCCTCCCTCTGGAGATGTGGCCATGCTGCTTTGCATCCCTCCTGGCACAATCACCACTGAGTATTGCTTCCTTCACCTGACCTTGGGCTGGCCAGCTTTAAACAGAGCTACTGCCAGGCCTCTAAACAAAAGGCTCCTTTCATACTCCAACTAACAAATATTCTCAGGGGTTTCCTCATTATTCAAATTTGAGGGTACTTTAGTGGATTTTTTTTTTTTTCTGTGCCCACAAAGTGCTGCACAAATCAAGTTCTCAAGTTCTCTGTTTGAAGGTGACAGGCTTTGGCAGCCCAGACATCCCATAAAAGGGTGCAGGTCACTCAGGGCGTGTCACTCTCCTGGAAAGTCAATCTGTAATTCTACAGACACACACAACCCAGAGCTGACAGTATCACCCCAGATCAACCTGCAGAACTCCCAGAGTGGCCACAACTGGGACACTGAGTGGCTCAGCTGAGCATACCTGATGAAAAGCAGCTACCGGTCCACCTAACATGATTAACAGAGCCACACCCAGTGTTGACAGCAGCTGAGAGTCACTGACCCTGCCCATGCCAAATGCACATCTGTCAGGGGTGCTGTGACACCGCTGCCTGCTCAGAGAATACACCAATGCACCAGCTTGGGCATCCTGCTAATGAGTGCAAACCTGTGTATCCACCGGTGCTCAGGAAAGATTTGCACTTATCTAAAATAGCTGCTGGCACTCATTTGCTTTTGCAGTTCCCACCTACCCTCACTAATCGCCTCTTCTCCATTTCTACTTCCTTTTCCCCTTCCCATCTGTTCCTACCCAAACAGACCCAATAGTACCATTCCTCGGTGAGGGTTCCCGGTTCCAACGTGACCATACCAATCCTTCCCACCCTTGCAGGCTGAGGGATGTGAGCTGCCAGCCTGAACTGGATCCTGCCCCTTTCCTGGGTGTTTTCTGTGTGGGAGAGGCCGGGCAAAGTGCAGCTGTAGGGCCCCGTACAGATCCCAGGCGTGTGGCACTGCCCACTGCCGTGACAAAGCAGTCAGACATTTCCACTTGAGACTGGTGCCAAGAGCTGCAGCAGAAGGGGATGACTCCTTATTTTTTCCGTTTCAGGAGATGGAGCTCCAAGGCTTGCACGCCTGGGATGCCTAAATAAGAATTTTTCAGCCAACGGAAACATGAAAAAAACCCTTAGAGTGGAATCTGCAACTCAGCTGTTCAGCCCTTTCCTTCCATAAGCCACAGCGTTATAAATGACTCCTTCTGACACAAGTAGCTTGCACAGTGCAAGCTCCAAGAGGTTACCACTGCTTTAAGAGGGCAAATTACTGGGATCAGGTAGTTGTGCTGCAATCTGTTATTTGGAAGATCACGCAAGAGCCTGGATGTGGACAGCATGGGAAGACTCGAGTGTTTTCCTACACACTTCTCTTCTCTAGTGCCCTTTTCAATCAGCAAACCCGAGTCAGAAAGCCTCTTTGGGCCCCACAAACACTTCTGCACTGACCAGGGTTTGTCAGCCTTTCCTGCCACATCTCTGAAGGTGGCTCCAAGCCCAGGCCCCACTGAGAAGCTGCTATTACATTGTCAAATCCAACCCACTGCACCATTACACATTTGAAGCACAGAACTGTGTTTCAGAAGCTTGTAGAGAAAGTGTAGGTGTCAGAAAAAGCTTTCAAAAATAGCTATCCTTCTCAAAAGCATGTAATTTAATTTAAAAAATATCACAACTTCCTTTCTGGAGAGGTAATTTCAGAGTGAGCAGAAAGGTGCCTTTCCTTTTATTAAGTTCCAGCACCTGACATCAGACAACTGACATTATTTAGGAAGTGCTTTAGGTGTGCATGATGCACCTAAAGCAGTTCTGCAGGAGGTCAATACTTACTCTCTTCTCAATTATGCTGGGTTATCCTTGACTTTAAATCTTAAGCATCTCTACAAAGTCCTTTTAAAAAAACATGCTTTTCCCCACTGATGTGATTTCCCTTCAACTGTGATCCCTGCTGGTTTGAATTCTTCACTTAGGTATCAATGGACTTTACGCAGCAGTTTGGCAATCCCTTCTGGACTCAAATAAAATAGTCTATACCAGGAAAGGCAGAGGGGAAAACAAAGATTTCTGCATTTGTTTATGGTCCTCAAGATGTGGTGAAGACAGGTAGGTGCTTTTACCAAAACCAGAAAGGTTAAATTCCTAATGTATCCTATCTCTTGGTTAATGCCAGGTCACAAAGGTAGCATGGACATCCAGGCTCAGGGCAGGCTTAGGGAAGTCAGCCCACAGCTGTCCAGCCTCATTCCACTGTCACCAGGAACAGCCAGGAACTGCCAAGTACCAACACTGGGCTGGCATCCTGCAAACCCCAAGAATCCCAGTTCAGAGCAGTATTTACCTGTGAACAGCCCTGCCAGATGGATTTTCTTCAAGAGCAAATGAGCTCATTCTCTATGGACAGGGAACACAAACCCAGTCTCTCTCACACCCAGAGCCACAAAGAGCCACAGAAGAGACAAGACCCTGACTGTACCTTGATGGCACAGCACACCTGTAGCAGGTACCAAGACTGAGAAAAAAATCACGTGAAACTCCACATCCAAAGTTCTGACCATGCTCAGCATCTTTTTATTGCAACACATCAGCAAGCCATTTGGAAAGAACTTACTTCTGTTGGCAAAGGCCATAATGCTTCACTTACTATCAGTGAGTAACCCCTGCCAGCATCCAAAACTTTTTCAGACTAGTCTGTGGCAGTTCTCCAAACATGACTCACACACCTTACATGATGTTTGATTTCGTACCCATCCTTTCACGGAACAGTAGCAGGGCTGTATTACTCACTCAGTTAACCTTTCCTCTGTTCAGAACATCCACTTTTTGGGTCTTTTTATAGCTCTACTCTGCATTAGTTACCACCATATCTAATTAAAACCAGGCTGGGTGAAAAATACACAAACTGTGTTGGGGATGGATCCACCCTCACACACAACACCCCCAGCCCCAGGGTGACCACAATGCCATTTCATGCAGTTGCCAGATTTACATTTTCACTCCAGCAGTAACAGTAGCACTGATTGTATTCCACCAAAGAGCTGATGCACTGGGGCAGATCTGGCAGCGCTGTATTAACACATCCAACTGCCTCAAAGTGCCCATTCAGAGGGACAGAAGTTCTCATTTTTCCATTCACTGCCAGGCTTATAGCCAACAGACAAGGATAATCATGGGATTACTACCACAACAGTACGACTACTACAGCCACAACAGAAATCATTAGCTTCCAATTTCAAAACAAGAGAAGCAACACAGCAGGGAGCTTGATGGCAGAGGGGCCATAGGAAAACTAAAGTGATGGAAAGTGAACAGCAACTAATACTTGCCTTAACTGACAACTTTAGTTTCTTGCAATTCACATGCACACAATCTATAGTAAAAAAATGTAATTTTTCCTTCAAAATCTCTCAGTTGTTCTACAGTTAGAAAGTCCTAAACCCAGAGCACAGCTTAATGTTGGGGACTTCCCATAACAAAGCTAATGAAGGCTCAGGGTGGTGCAGCCTTTTGATTTTTAAGGAAATGTTTTAAAAAGAAAATTTTTGCCAAAGGGAACAAATAAAAAACATCACGGAATTTATTTAAGTTTCCTGATGACAAAATAAATGTAAGCCAATCTATTATGTAATGAAAAATGAAAAGGTGAGGCAGGGTTTTAAATAGTTTCTAACTTCTAATGGGAATTCTCATTTGCTCTAAATGTCCATCATCTCATTCCAGGAGAGGTGCAGGACCTCTGAAATGAACAGCTTGGAAAGAACAGCTCCATCTACACTAAACCACTAAACACTTCCAAGGGATTACAGAGACCTAACTGAAACTCTGCAGCCTCCCCATCCTGTCTCTGTGCCTGGATAAAGTCCAAAAAAACCAGAGTTACAAATATGCTGATATGTACTTCTCCCTCTCAAACAAGCCATGCCTTGGAAAGAAAAAAGGATGGATGTTGGGAGAGCATTCCAAAGTGCTAAAGGAGCTTACCCAGGTGCTGTGATCTACAAAACCTGGAGGTTTTATACAGCAACTGAAGGTGTCTATTTGTACCTCATGTCTGAAATACAGCACAGAGCAAACCCTACCACAAGAAAACACAGAGTGCAATTCTTGAACAGTGGCATTTGTGTTCTGATTAAGAATTGTACAATAGTATGCAGCTCTTTGGACCAGTGGAATTGTGGAATATCCAATTACTACCACTACGGTACTAAAAAAAGAATTCTAAATACATTATGTAGGAGTTATAAATTATGTATTTCTGTAGTGTAATTATACAGAACTTCATAGCAATGTACACACCAAGCTGGATTTCTATCTGCAATATACATATATATATGTATTTATATACACATGCTTGCAATTTTTCATATCTATCTCTCTCTGAACAACATAATCAGAAGATAAAGAACTGCACATGAACTGAGGTTTGGAAAGGCAGGTGTTTGCAGTGTACACAAGATCCATTATCACCTGTGATAATAATACATTCTGAACCTGGCAACCTCTCTGAACAAGCTGACCTTTGTTGTATCAAGACATTTTAGGAAACAAAGATCTTTTTCATTGTTTTATTAAACTACTGGATTCAGTGGCTCCAAAGGCATTGCAAATTATAAGCAGAACCCTTTGAAAATGTATTTTCAGCATATAACTTTAATGGGATCCAATTTCATCTCTGGAAAACTAGCTTTATTTTCCAATCAGTGGGACCAAATACTTGCATTTTCCCTTACGCAACGATTTTTGAATTCTAGACTCTACCATCAGCTAGAAGTGGCAGCCTATTTACTCAGCAAATATAAAATGTGCAAAGGTTTATACACAAATCTTGCAATTGAGATACAGAAATTCAAAATTCAGGGATAATTTCTGCAATGCCCTACAATTCCAGGTACACATGCACAGATATATTTGTATTCCTTTATAATATAAATAGTATCCCCATAATGTGGCAACAGACACTGGTACTGTGGGAATCATCAGACTTCTGAACTACCTGGTCTAAGGATGTTGAACAAGAATTCTCAAAACTTTATTCCTGGCTGGAGGGTCTTTGGAGCAGCTCCCCAGTTTACCAGCAGCTTATTAATACCTTTGTTTGGTGTGATGACTATAACACTGGGTACTAATAAACAGTAAGAACTCATCCCCCTATCAGCTTCAACCCTTATTCTCTTTTTATACTCTTTTTATACTCTTTTTATACAAAACCAGCCGTTTGCTGTGACAGAAATGCACCTGAGCCAGCATGACCCAACCCAAAGCATTTTTAACAGAGAGCGCTCCTACCTGCTAAGGCATCCCGGTAAAGTTGCACAAAGTGGTTGAAGATGTCCTTGGGCAAACATTTCTCATCAGGCAGACACTGCAGGAGGATGACGATCTCCGACTGCCCCACGGCGTGCATGCCTTTGGTAGTGAAACACCAGCACTTCCTGTTCACATCTGCACAGAGAAAACACACCTCAGGAGAGCAGCATTTCAAAATACAGCCCCACATCTCACTGCAGGAAGACAAGGGGCAGTTTTACAGCAAGTATTGTCGTGTTATCTGTCACGCGGATAAATCACATCCCAAATCTGTCCCCGTGCGAGCAAGGCACACCCAAAACAAAGGCAGCTCAACAATTCCCAGTTTACAGCTAAGGAAGAGCCAGAGCACTAGAGCTCCCTGTGAGATCTTGGGATTAACACCACAGAGCAGACTTTTAGCAGTTTCTGCATTCAGATTAAAGGACAGGATGGAAGTGTGAATGAAGGGCCTGGGAAGAGGCCAGGCTGTTGGCTGTGCATCCCATGATCCTGACAGCTCCACCAGCTTCCAGCAGTGATATCTCTCTTAGGATGGAGAGCTGAATGTCAGGTCTTTTCAAGAAACCTCACTGGCTTGTTCTGCTTCCCATGAATGTCAGTGAAGGCACATGCTCTAAGCTTCACAGTGTGTTACATTTTTATACATATGTAAAACATTCTACTGCCATGGAAGAGAAGCTGGAAGGCTTGTAAACATCTTAATTTATTAAGGGATAAAACACCCGGCCCTACCAAGCTGGACAGGAGACACAGATCTCCAAAGCTGGAGGTTCTATCAGTCTAGGTTATGTTTTCCACACAAAATTATCTGCATTGATGTCTAAATCAACAGAAAACAGCCTTTTGTAATTTAACTTCACATGGCTCAGTACAAACTTGTCAATGTGTACACATTTTCTGAGACTATCCTACCAAATAATAATGCTGCTGTTCCTACTAATTATATATACATTTCCCCCCTCATAGACCAAGATTTATTTAATAATAAAAACTTACAATTTACTATTTTTACCATGGACAGCAAATTAGCATTTAAAACAAATACTAGAGGGTCAGGGCCACCATCCTCCAGCTGCTGCATGACAGAGATCTGAGAAGGTCTCTCTTCTACAGCATAGTCTATGAAAGAAAAAACACACAATGAAATCCTTAACTTACTGCTACAGACTCCACATTATAATCAGATAACCCCAATTCTGATGCTTTTTTTTTCACTCTTTTGACCTTTGAAAGAGACACTTATTTGAGTATTGCTGGCTTGAGTGATTGTTTCCCAGGCTGGTATTTTCAAACTTTAATAGTATTTATGCAGTAACCTCTGTGCACCCTTTAGAAAGGTGCAGCTTGTTTCACAAATCAATTATTTTTTGGTATCAACTGAAGGAGAAAATTGAAATCAAATTGAGAAGTGTGTCACAGTGTCAACTGAAATCCCAAATGACAAAGAAGTTAAAATTGTTATTTATGGCACAGTAAAGCAGAAGGGCATCAGTCCTGGACTACAAACACCAACACATGGTCTATCCCTGTGTCAGGCAACTCACACTTTCTGTGCATGACCTACAACAAAGGGGGGAAGACAATCTGAAACAGCATTTTTTATAACCATGGAAGGTCTGAATCCAGTGTAAAATTGATCCCAACAAGAAACTCCAAAGATGTCTGTAGTGTGCTCTGTGATTGGACCCAGATGATTAGCAAATTAAAATTTTTCATCTCTGTGATTATAATCTACTCTGCGTTAAACTTTAACAAAAAACCAGCTGCACTGATGAAAACACATTTTGAAAGAAATGTATAACCTCCTCAGCTAAAATTATCTAGAAAGAAAGGTAATTTTGCTTTCCAATGTGAAAAATTATTTTTCTATTTTTAATAGAATTAGAATATGGGAAGTAAAATGCTGCTAAGAAAATTCAGTACGTGACAGCATTGGAAACAACAGCAATTAAGCATGCAAAATGCAATTTGTGAGGCTATCACTATGAAAGCTGAAAAGCATATTGTAGTTTCACTCCTTTTTTTTTTGTGGAGGAGACTGAACAATCAGGCATCCATATGAACAGCAAACACAGGAGGGAACAGATTGTTTTGAAATTAAATGCTGCTCACATTTTGGTTTTGACACTATCCTGCAATAAAAGGTTACTTCCAGCTTATACATCAGAAATGCACAGCATCAGCACAATATTTAATAGGAATAAAAAAAACAGAGATGAAAAAATAATTCCAGGAATGCATTGAAGGATGCCATGAATCAGACTGTGGAAAGCTATTTCAGATAAACAAATACACATTTTTTTAATATATATTTTTAAAATTAGTTTTTAATTTTCTGAAGCCTCCCCCATTTGGATACTCTGGAAGGGGACATCACAATGACTAAAAGCTTCACTGTGGGCCAGGATGTGCCAGAGCGTTGTTGCTGCAGTGCTCAGGGATGCCTCAGACAGAGCTGATGTTCCAACAGCATTTCAGAGGAGGGAACATGAATATTCATAGGACTAATTAAAAATCTATCTCTGTGTGGAACATTCCCCACAGCCCGATTAGTGAAGAAATTAGCACGTATTTCTGGACCCAAGTTAATTCGTTTTGCTTGGTGTTTTATTTCTTACAGGAATTTCACTGCATAGTGAGGTTCTTCCTGGAGGCTCAGTGGGACCAATGGAGCAAATGAGTGTCCCAAAATTTACCCAGGAGTATTTAGTGAGAATTTCCTCAAATACTCAGCATATTGCCAGCATCTTCTTTTTAAAATAAACACAGTAAGCATTCGGTAAATTGCAACTGGTAAGCATAAAAGCCAGCTGCCAAATGATACCCTCACCTCCTTTTACTCCAGTGGAGATGAGAATTGGAGGAAGCCCATCTTCAGGAATTAGATTCATTGCACTGCCAACAGGACTGCCAACCTGAGTTATATTTCCCGAGAATACAGAGGCATTATCAGTCTACAAGAAGCAAACAACAAGGAAGGACAACATTACAAAAGTAATAACGATAAAAATGGAAGAGCTGGCTGACTAGATCACTGCAGATGTAGGGGAAGGAGTCTGTGTCTGCTGGAGAACCAGTAACACCAAGTAATTTGGTTCTTTAACAATAGATGATCATGTGATGACTCCTGTATGTGAACTATTACTAAAAAGTCTGCTTAGACAGAGTCTGCAGCTCCCTTCTCTATCACCACACACCTCCATTTCCTCACAAAACCTGTATGTACCGATCACAACTTTTCGTGGAGTCTCAATCCCACTCTCACGGGGTATGGTTAGATTGTATCTGCTCTTTCCTGCATGTATCATTTTGTGACAAACAGAGCGTTTTTCTGATTCATGCTATGACAATCTTACTGTTTTAAACTCCTTACTGACCACGACTCACCTGTTTTAAAACATGCATTACACAAATGTCCTTCACACACAGGCTGTACAGCCAAACCCTTGGAAGTCACACAAACAAACACTGGCCAGTGCTCTGCCCCATAAAAGCTCATTTCAGTTGGAAATACGTGGTCGTTTAAGCACTCTGCAAACATTAGAATAAGGAGGACACTTGCAGTACAGCAAACTAAGACAAGCCTCAGCAGATTTCCTTGCTCATTTACTGCTCACGGCCAAGGCAAGGAGGCATTTTGGGTGCTGAACAGTGTAAGGCTCCCTTACTTCTGCTGATAAAGAGTTGTTGGCCATGGGCTTTGACGGATCATGTGACACTGCCAAGGTTCCTGTGGAAGCTGTCCCAGCCACTGTCAGTTTTGCTGCATCAGCAACTTCTCCATTGGGTAATATCCCATCAGCAAACCAAACACGCCTTTGTTCTCTAGGCTGAGCCACTGGGGGGAATGTAAGAAAAACAGGATTTAAGATCTCACAGCAACATCAGCTGGAAAATTTCAGTACACAAATAGAAATGTGGACTTGAAGGGACTTAAGACATCACCTAGTGCATTCCCCATGGCAGCACTGTGTACAAACACAACTGCTGAGAACAATTTACTTGTCCTTAAAGACCTGATGTCTCCACTGAGGGCAGGAGTATCACAACTGCCATGAGCTGGAGAATTTGGAATGGATGAAGTGCAGATACTGCCCAAATTCTTGCTACAGGTGAACTGCAAATCAAAAGAAGTCCTCTTACCTTCTGCTCCAGGATGCTTTAGAACTCCCACAGGTACCATGACAGTGGGAGGCGGAGAGCTCAGGGCGCCCGAGGCCTGAGCCTGCTGCAAAGGAGGGATAGTAGAACAGTATTCAGCAGGATTGTTAGGGTTAGGGCTCTGGCTCGAGGCACTCGTCATGTTCTCCCAGGCTTGAGCTAAAGCAAACAGAGAACAGGACCCATGAACACACAGGAAGGTATCCAACAGTCCAAAACGCTGGGTTAAGTTCCCAGCTGCAGAGGGTGTGGACTCTGCCACCTTCCAAAGAACAGCTCCCTTCATGTGGAAGCCCAGGAGACTAACTGAGCAAGAAAAACCATATCAGGAGGAGAAACAGCACTGCCTCTGCGCAAGAAAAGCATCAGTTCATACAGAAATATTTTCTGAAAATTATAACAATACACTTTTACTTGAGTGGTGCTTAGTTCCTCATGCTGCATTTTGTTTCTTCTTCAAAGATTCTATTGAAAACACTCAATGTATACATAAATATATGTGTATATCAAACTGCATGGACAGCTAGACATTACTATTATAAATGTTTCATAAACCACAGAACACCTGAGCACATTTATCTTTTTTTATATGATATAAAGCACCTTGCATTTCATTTTATCTGGGGTATATCAGTACAGATCAACAACTTTTATCCTCAGCTGTAAAAAATAAACCATTATGCTCTTAATTTGGAAGGCTTGACTTGAGCCTTGATTCAACTGACCAAAGAATAACACATAAAACTTTTTTGTCAAAAATATCCATCACAGGGAAATCTCCAACTAGTGACAGGCTGTATGTTCACAGTACTACTACTTTTTTTCAGCTGTAAGGAATGCTTGTAGCAGGGTAGCAGAAAATTCAGATGTGTGTTTGCACCTTCAACCATATTAGTATGTTACAAATAAACTCATTCTTTGAGTCAGGCATAAATATCATGCCACCTAAGGTCTCCCAGCATGTACACCTTTGGGTTCCTTTGGCTATGAACTGTTAGAAAACCAAGGTGAAAATAAAGAAACCCAAACAGAACCCAACAGAACACGAATTCTCCTTCTTCCCCCCAGCAACTTGCAAAATCAAGAGTGAAATGGTCAATAGTATTGAAATTCCATTTGAGAAAACTATTTAAACTGAAGTACTTTTTAAACAGCAATTCTTTGTCATTTAGACTGAAAGTCCTGAAAGAAGAAAGTGTTAGAAGAGCACAAAGTTACATCTCTAGGACCATTTTATTAGAAAATGGTAACAGAACACTTTTAAAGCCTTCTTTAAATCAACAAAGTGCCAAGTCAGCATCTGTACCAATTGAAAATACAGTAACAATAGCACTGGAAACTGATGGAACACAGCCTGGCCATGGAAAAGGGCCAGAAAACACAGAACCCTCCCCCCACACCCCCCGAAACACAAACCAGGTATCGAGCAACCCAATGAAACAAAGAACTGCTTTTAAATGACAAACCTACCCCGGTTCCAACACTGGCATTAATGTTCACCTGAGGGGGGCAAACCCCCCACACCTGTACTGCCAAAAAACTGCAGGGAGCAGAGGGACTGGACACCATGAGGCTGCAGGTGAACTAACCAGTAACCCAGAGCATCCCCACAAGCCCTTTTTTAACATGATTTATTTAACATAACACTGTAGCACCCCTTCAGTGTCATTACTGGGACTCAGCTTTAATTTCTGGATAATACAGCCTACAATTCCCTGTCACCTTACACATTTGGCCTACAGTAAAGAATTATTAATAATTAAAACCTACCACTGCACACTGATTAAAGTTTAATATGTTTGAAACATTTAATATTTTTGGGATTTTTTTAAAAATTATTCTTGTTTAATAACAGAAACTGTCTACTAATTTTGGATTTTCAATTCAAGACAAAACACTTGGTTACTTTCAACCAAACCTGCATAATACTGAACTTCTCTGGACAAAAAAATAAAGCTATGAGTTTCTAAGGCTAATGTTTTAGTTTAGATGTTCAACAAATTAACAGATCTTTCTGAAAGCTGCAGACCAAATAATCCACTATCCAGTAACATGTAAAGATACTGTCCAAATTACCTTGTCTGAATGCTGACACAAACCAACATTTTCCTAACTAATTCTTGGTTAAAACTACAGCAGCAATCTTTGAGAAAAGTCCCCCAAAGTTTAACTAATCATTGGCAGCACTGGAGATTCCGTGATAACTGTTCAGTAATTATCAGGACAGTTTGTTATCCTAATGGATAAGTTTGCATTTAGAGCCTGAATTTGTCTGATTTCTTATTCTACCTATGACACGTTAGAGTGCACCTGTCAGACCTTCATCTACCACTGAATTAACTTCTGCCAGCAAGCCTCAGTTATCCAATATATATTTATACCCTGAGACCAAGCTACCCATTCACCTTCCCATTAATAAACCCAAGATGAAGTGCCTGGAACTTCTCCCCAGGAGACAGGTTATCTCGTGATTTAAACACTCACACGGGTCCTCTCTCAACCTCATCCAATTTTTCTGCCTTCTCAATTCAAAACATAAAAACCGAACGCTGCATCTTTCCAGCAGCAGCTGTCTCAGTGTCATGGACATCAGTCAGCTGGACAGATAATCACCCACCCAAAGGTATCTGCCAGTGCAGGAAGGTCTGGAAATTCTCAGAGGCCTCAGAGAGGAGAACACTCTGTGTTTGCCCATAATGATACCACAGTATACAAAACACATTCCAGAGCCTTTTGGTCAAAACCAAACCGAGTTTTTCCTTCCTTCAGTTGAGTCTTTCCTTACTTCAAGCAGATGTAACAGAACGTTTTGTTTGTCCTAATCGTCACCTTCAGAACTAGTGGTGACCTCTCTCCTGTGTCCCACACTCACACCAGGCTCTCAGCCACAGCACCACCCTGGCTTTGACAGACTCTCCAGTCAGGTGCCCAAAGCAACAACTCAAACTCACTTGTCCACATTTGTGGACTCGTTTTTAGACCAGCCCTCCTAGTCCAGCACCATGGAGTTAAGGAGAAAGAAGATTTGGATTAATTTGTGGATAAATACTACCTTCCCAATCCCCTAGAGTGCGTCATCTAGAAGAGGTACAACTGCATTAGTCTCCTCTTTGTCATTCCATACCAAAGCCACAGAGTAGGCTTCTGAATTAAGAAAACAGAAAAAAAAAAAAAAAAAGCCCCAAATGACAGTTTTTAGAATCCTGGTAGAGCGTTCACAAATAAAAGCTTTCAAACTCACTGTAACCTTACCAATTTTTGCCTTTTGTTAACCGCATTTAGTTTAGAAATCTCCACTCTCCACAAGGACGCCACACTGGCCTCCCAGGGGCCTTCACGTTTGAGAATACTTACCCATACAAATAAAGTATTTTGATTTTTTTTTTTTTAAATAGCATCACTGCAGCTCCACACAAAGCCAGTGAAGTGCCACATCTTGTGTTCTCTTTCCACTTACCATTCATGAGCACTGAGTGGCAGATCACACACACTCTGGCTTCCTTTCGGTCCATGTACAGCAGTTTGCACTTCAGGCTGCAGCAGGCGGCACAAAACACCTGCAACCAAGGGGAAACAACTGAGGGGTGGTGCAAAAACAGGCACAAACTGATGGGTTTGGACGACAGAATACCTGCAAATATATGCAGAATTACTGGTAAATATATGCAGGTAAATTACTGGTATTTTCCCACTGAAGCCACAGTGGCTAATACTTGCCAAGGTGCCTGTGCTACTAATCCTGATGCAGCAGCATTTTGTGGAAAATAGAAATTCATGTTGTCCTGAGACTGCACTGGGGTGTTTTTAAAGTATGTTTGGCATAAATGGCAATGGGTAATGAATACCTCCTACATTACAATCCCTCACAGAATTAACTTCAGTCTTAGAAAGAGTACAAGTACTTTGTAGAATCAAATATACATCAGTGCACAAGTTTTCCATATATATGAGACGGCTATTGCACAGGTTAATTCAAACAGGTCATTTTTCTTTGCAGCAGCACAATTCATCTCTATTAGCAACTCTGGTTGTTTTCTCTCTTCATATATAACAAGCTGCTCCTCAGTTGATAAGTGAACAGTGAGGTATCAAAATGTTTTAAGTGTTCAACACGCAAACCAAGACATTGAAGAGAGCTGAATGACAGTACTGAGAGAAAATTTTGCTCCATTTATCTAAAAAAAAGCTCATATTGGCATGATTACAAACACTGCAACTTCACAACACTGGAGAGAAGTCAGGAACTGCATTTTGCACACACATTGGCTGCTCAGGGGGCGGTGGAAGCCCCAGGAGGACACTGTGCTGGGGAGATGCAGCTGCAGAGCTGGTGCTTCTCACCTGAACCAGCTCTGGGAACTCCTCAGTCCTGGGCAGGGAACAGGCTCGAGGCTTCCTCAGATCAGCAAACTCACAACCACAAGCATGGCTCGTGCACCATAACACACAGACATAATCCCACAGTAGCAACTGCATTCTCATAATCCTGCAGAACTGACAAGTCAGGTGCCCTAATGACTTCTTATTTGTTGGAAATAATAATATTTTCTTTATTAAAAAAAACCACAGTATTTCCTCAGGGTTATTGTTCAGGTGATGTGAAGATACCGATGAACATCCATTTCACGCAGAGAGGTGATGTCCAACCCAGGAAATCTCGAAACGGAAGCAGTTACCTAACAAATGAGTTCACACAGCAAGAGAGAATTTCAAATTTTAATTATAGGGGGGTATTATCTCTGCAATCCACTGTGCATCACTAGGATCTGTAATGCTTTCTAAATCAAATTACTCCATCGCTTCAGCAACATTATTTCTGTAATACAGACAAGAAACTACATAGAATCTCATATATAAATATGTGTAAGCCTAATTAAAGTTAAAGATCACACCAAATTACAACTACTTTGCAGCCTGTTATTTGCAGTCTTTTAGAGGAAAATGTTTAAAATAAGCAAACCTAAGTTCTGAGCTCACCACGAGAGCTGAAAATCGAATGTGAAGAAGGAGGTCACCCTGTCTAACTACAACCAGTTTAAATGTTTCTTAATTGTGTCAACTTAAACATTTCAAAACCAAAATACGAGTAAGTATACCCTGGCATTTTCATGCAAAAATAAACCCCACCTTTTCACATATGTAAAAACATTTAAAACAAAAAAAAAGGCAAATGTACTTTGAAAATCTGATTTCCGCATTTACACCTTAACCCAATTTACAAGCATTCTAGGGAATATTAATAACATCATCACAGCATATTTTAGAGACATTGGACATCATTTCAGTTCTCTGGGCAAAACTTCCAGTCAAAAGTTCATTCAGTATTGAACATGGAAAAATCAATGTCTTCAACCATAAAGGAAGGACCGACACAAATTAATATCTAATTTAGGACCCTTCACCAAACAACATGTTGGGCATTCAGCAAAGCTCCCAAATGCAAAGATCTAAACATTAAAAGAGAAAAGAGAAACAGTGACAGGACACCCAAACCTCCTCTGTAAGGCTGCATCAGCCTTTGAGAGCAGTAATGCAGAGAACACAATCCACTGACAACTCAGACTTGTTATTAGAATCCTCAAGTCATTATCTCGGTATATCATGCTATAAAAAAATAACACGGCAGTGTCAAAGCAAGATTTGATGTTACCAGGGTTTTCAGGTTCACTGGGAGTTGTTAAAGCATTAGTTGCTAGGGGAATTGGTGGGTCTTTTTATATTTTAGTGGAAAAGTATAGTTTTGGTTGCCACTAAAAAAGATTGCACACAATTTTTCTGGTTTGCCTATCAAGGATGATCATTTCACCTGACAACAGAAAGTACATAAATACATATGATTTATATGTAAAGTTATATATAAATTCGTATCGTTTATGAATGTGTTCACACACATTCTTCAGGTTCTTAATTCAAAATTTACTGGAAGTGCATTACTTCCTGCCAATCCCACGAGGTTCACATCTTCCATTAACTTTGCAATTATTATCCTGAAATTAAAAATCGAGACAGACTTCCCAGGTGCCACTCCACTAATTTTAAATGCAATGTTCATTCCCAAAGGAAACAGGTACTTTCACCCCTACTATAGTGACTTGCCAGGATGCTTATAAAGCTTAAAAAGAACCTGCTTGTGCTCAAAATATTTGGACCCACGACTTCCCCCAGAAACAAATAACTGAAGAACTGAAGACAACGTGTCCCCAGTTCTTTAGGGGATATATCTCAGATATTTGAAAACAGGTATTTCTTTCTCCAGCCACTGCAGCCACATCCATCAGAGCTCACCTTTGGTTTCTCCCTGCCCAGGAACTGAGGATGTGAACCAATTTGCAGGAAGAGCTAGGTATTATTTGATTTACACTGATTGTGAGCATTTATTGCTGAGTGCTTTCTGCCACATCTTTTGGCTGTACTTGTGCAAATTTTTGGCCCAGACAAATATTGGCTAACAAAGGCTTCTAAAAACAATCCATTCTGAGGATTATTCTAACACTGAGAATATCAAATGAGACTTTTCACAAGTCAGAAACAGAGCAGAGGGACCTTTTCTTTTATCTATTCCCTACATACAATCCAAAACAACACTGGTTGTTCTTCTCAAGGTTTGTCAGAATAATGTAAAAAAAAAGAAAAAACCCACTCTGCTCTAGCATTGCATTTTTTATCCATTTTTTATAGATATTTTCAATTTCTGCACATTCACTTGTACATTTCAGGGCTCCATTACAGTCTTTACAAAGAAGCAATCAAATCCAAGCAATGAACTTGTTTAAAACACAAAAATAATTTAAAAACATTACTGTAAATGAAAACTGAAGTCATATTTCATGAACTAAAAAAAAAAAAAAAAAACAAACAACCACAAAACCAGAAGAATGACCTAAATAACTGACAGTATAAGTTGAAATATCAAATCTAAAATTATGGACATTCTGCCTTACAGATTCTCCCTAACTGCAATGAGAAGACTGAGGCATCTCAGAGATAAATTCATCACATAAGAATTTGTGTTCACACAGATGGCACATGGATAAAAGTTTAAAAACCCCTCAACATTAAAATATTTCATATACAACAAAAAGTGATACAGAAATTATGTTTGAGTTGTCTTTGTTACAAAGTTTCTCACCATGTGCACATATATCAGGTTACAGATCATTTACTTTTTTTTTTCTCCAGGATTAAATTTATGATTCAAAACATGTAAATATTATTTTAAAAAATGTAAGTATTACAGGAAAAGTTAGGAAAGAAGAGGAGAAGAACAGAGTAGATCAGCCATTCCAGCAGGAATGCCAGCAATCCAACAGCACACTTCCAATCCACAGCAGGATGTTTCAGCATCTTTAGTGGGGTTATTGGTGCAGTAATTTCTGTAAAGTAGTTTCCTGCACTTTGCCATTTTATAAGAGTTCGACATAAACCCAATGATGATGATCATTGCAATCAATACACTGCTCATACAGGCTAATAACAATTAGTTATTCTTTATTAGAACCCTACATAGATCAGAGCTTAGAAACTTCCTTTTTCCCTTTACTCAAACATAGATTTTTAGGAAGAGGTGTCACAGGTGACTACAGCCAGTGCAGTGGCTTAGAAAGCCCTCTGATCTGATGTTGTGCAGTACCAGGAAAAAAAACCAAACAACAGTGCTTTGAGCTACTCACAAAATCTGAACTTACCTTCCCACAAGCTCTGCAATGGTGCCTTCTTTTGGTGAATGTAAATCTGGCCTCACATTTCATACAGTTTGGTGCTTGAGAATCTGGAACCCACACTGGAGCCACCTCACCCAAAGTCGTAAAAGGCTTTCTGGCTGGAGCTCCAAACTGACCAGCTCTGAGATCGTTATCTGGACTATCTGGGGCTACTGCAAGGCACGAACTATTAGAGACTCCAGATTCATACTCATCCAAATGTTCCCCGTTAGTACCAGTACCAGAGGCATTTGAAGATGTTTCACCAGGAAACGTGTCTGCTGTATCTCCTAATTTTGTCTTACCAAAGACATTTTTGTTTTTGCTATTACCTCCACAATTTGGGGGAATAAGATCATTTTGTAAGTGGTCCGACAATGGCTTCGGAATCTGCAGTTTCAGATTTGTAGGCTGTTTAGGTCTTGCACCACCAAAAGGAACACTGATATATTGCAGATTAGCCACTGGTTTTGGTGAAGTCTGCCCTTGCATGGATGAAACCTGACTGCAAAGATTATGTAAATAATTTTTCTTTATGTGGTCACCAGTGCTGTTTAAAATAAGACCACTTCCTTCTGTGGTCTCGTTTCCTCTCTGTTCATAAACATTAGTGTAACATTCTGACTTGCTCTCCTCAATCTCCTTTTCCTCTGTTACCGAGTCTTCCTTGGAGGGTAAAGTTTTTGGAACATGAGCAACAACTGGGTTCTGCATTCCATAGGAATCACAACCATTAGACAGAGAGCTTGCTGCTGATGTAGCCATCACATCAGAGAGACCGGGCCCTTCAAGCTCATCTATACCAGTCCCTTTTAAGTCTGTGCCTGCCTCCATTGCCCCATCTCCATGTTCTTTGCTATTACCACATGCATCATCGGGCTGTTTGCTCTGCACAAGCCTTTCATTCTCTCCTAGAGTTTGCTTATTGTTCATCTCATTCAACTTTGTCAGTTCCCAATCAGCCATCTCCTGAGACTCGGGGTAACATTCTGCCACGCCCAGCAGTTCCGCTGGGCCGAGGTTTTTATCACATTCAACGACTTCGCTGTCAGTGGCACCAACATCCTCGGGGCCAAACTGCTCTGCAACACATTCCTTGTGATTGCCACTTCCAGCCACTTTAGGTTGACAGGTTTCAGTGAGCCCAGACAGCCGAGACTGTAACTGCTGGGTTGTTTCCTGTTCTACAATGAAGCTTCCATTACTGGAACCGGGAGAAGAGTTTTGAGCTTCTAGATCTGGTCTCTGAGGAATGGCTTTACTACTAAAATTTTCAACTGATACACAATTTTCTTGCATTTTAACAGTACCGTCAACTGGTGTCTGTAAGAGAGTCACTGCATTGACCCCTGCAGTTGTAGCTTCTGAAAACACCGAATCCTTACTCATATTAAAATCATCCTTTAATCGAGAGGAGGGGCATGCAATGCTCAGGCTTTCAGATGAAGCATTAACCAAAGGACTTGCAAAGTCATCTTCAGTGCACGGCCTGTTCACATGTTTTTCTGTATCTGTATCCTTTTCCGTGGATCCATTTACAGTAACACTCAACTGGTCACTCTGTCGGCTCTCGTTATCCAGTGTAAAGCCAACAGTGTCCATCAGGGACTCACTGCTGTAATTTTTACAATCCAGCAAATCTCCACTTTGTAGTGTTCTGTCACAGTTGTGCATGACTGCCACCACTAGCACGTTTTTCTCCTCTGGCAAGCAAGCTGTATTCCCACATTTCCTCTCCCCCGTTTCCACAGCATGACACTGATCACGATTACTGTTTCTTCTAATCAACTGATCGTCTGCTGCTGCCTGATCATCAATCCACATGACTGGGGTCTCTGGGCTTATGCTAAAATCCTTCCCATTAGCACAGTGATCCCCTCCTGCTGTTGGTGTGGTCGCTGAATGGGACAAGGAGCAAGATTTCACTCTCTGCTGACACTCATTAGGAGCTGGAGCTTCATTCACGTTGGCCACGGTGGGGTTGAACGACAGGCGGCGAGAGGGCGGATCTAGGATCTGATTCCACTTTGCACCCAGCAGGGTAGGTGAGACAGCAGCATCTGGAAAAGGGTTTCAACAAGAGAACTCAGTGCCCTGCTGAAGCTACAGGTTCTATTAATTCTGTTGCATTAAAATGCCCCTAATATAAATGTAGAGACGTTCAAATACTGGCACAGGAATAAAACACGTCTGCCATAACCAACATTTTTGGATCAACCATTAGCAGTGTAATTGCAGAATGTTTCTGGAACTCGGGAATTTAGAGCTACATCAATTAGTATCAGGTTGAATTTGCAACTTTAAAGTACTGATTAATATACTTTAGACAGCTAGAAGTGCCTAGAAAGACTCTCACCCCCATAAAATGTTCGACTTCCTTGACAGCACAGAATTAGCAATTAGACTAAGCAAAAAATTTAACGCTTCAAGTATGATAACTTTCATTTTATGATTTATGTGACCTAATAAAACATTTCTGCAAAAGAAGCTTAAAATAAGTTTTGCCTGATTTGTTTAAAATAAATGATTTAAATATTGCTACCGAGATTAAGCTTCACAAAACCTTTCTTTAAAAGAGTGCAGAACATTTGCTATTGAAAGAGTGAGAGATTTTACAAGCGTAAACAAGATCAATGGAAACAGAAGAGAATACTAAGAAACACTGAAGGCATACCGTGCAAAATTAACAGACCTTTTTTGAAAGTTCGGAGATTAATTTGCAACTCAAAAGCAAAAAGGATGTCACAGATCTCTGCCTCTTCAATAGGGCTCTCTTTAGAATACATCTGATGTGCATCCACGATCTCATTCAAAATGACTCACCTTCGTTTTGCTCAAATTCGTCTAAAACCTTATCGAGGTTATATGCCTCTGCTTGGAAATAGTTCTCCATTTGTCAGGGAACGACCACCAGATCCTTGTCTGAACCTGCCAGAGAACAAATTACCATCAGATGCTTAACCTTCAGTCAGCAGTGTTCCACTACACAGTGTCCTGATTTCAGAGGAAAAGTCCTTTGGAAATCAAATTTTACATACATTACGTACATAAATCAAAATATTTTCTGGGAATAAAAATTATTTGTGTGCTTAGACTTGCTTGATTCAGATTAACAACCTCCCCAGACTTGCTCTGGGTTTTATTCCCTTCAGTCTCTCCCGTTAATGTGTCTGGTCATCACGATCACCATAATGGTAAGAGCAAAACTGCTCTGACACCAGTCAGAAAAAACCAGTCTGGAGAACCAGAAAGGCCAACCAACAATATGAAGACCTGACTTTCATTTCTGTGCTACCACCAATTAGCTCATGTGGCTCTGAACGAGTAGTTTAAACTCCCTGTGCTTCTGATTTTTTAATGTGTACTAGTCTAGCAGTGCTCTGTATCACTCCTCAATTCCCAGAGATGCTTCACAGATTCATACTTGTAAAAGTTGGTAAGGGACTTAATGGGTGTTACTTGAATTGTGCTGGCTCTTAAAATGTCTGCTTTAATAATCCTTGTTTCCCTGAAAGGCAGGCACTGGAAATCTAGAAAAATGCACACAAGTAAATAGTGTCATCAGAACATCATGCTCTCAGGCTACAGAGGAAGACGACAGTGAAAAAAAAAAAAAGGCCCAAAACAAACCAAAACCTCAACCCTAAATCATTACATAACTTTCTATCTTCACACAATAAATAACATTTTGCCCTAACAGTAGGAATATGGACTTCTTTCTTCCAAAGTCTTGTAAGAAGAGGACATCCAGATTCAATTTTTCCAAGCATTCACTGTCAGCAAAGACATTTTCCCTGGGAAATATGTGCCATAACCTACATACCAAAGAGAGACCTTGCTTTGATCTGTTCCCTGAACATCACCCAAACCAGCCTTATTCTCTTCAGAGTTGGCTTTCACTGTTGTGAAATGAGGCAGTGGAGGGGGAGAGGGTGAGAACCTTGTTTTGCAGTGAGGAGCAGTGTCAGACCCGACAGCTCAGTTACAAAGCTGCTCTCTTACACCCCACACACAACAGACACGACAAGCGCAGCGGAGAAGTTTCCAGTTTAAAACAATACTTCAAAACAATACTCCACCAGAGTATCTGGATTGGAGGAGAACATCAACCACCTGTATTTCCATCACTACAACACTGAGTGCAGTTTTGTATTTGTTGTGGGCAACAGCTGTAATTAGGTTATTGGTTCAAAAAGGTTTTGCATCAAAATTTCCCAAAATGCAGACTACAAGTTTTTAGAGTTGACTTCAAATTTGATAGATGGTTGTTTCAAAAGGTGATCATGAAACAACATAAATACATTGCTATTTCATATAATCAGACTAAATCATGTTATAATCAAATCATCTTTTAAAGATATATACAAAAGTTAATTTTAAAGGAAACCAGTCTAATACTACCTTAGAAATTGCAAAAAGCATCAACAGTAAAAAGACCATTTTGCAAAAAAATTCAGAGATAAACTAGATCTGTCAGCTTACAAACTCCCACATTTGTCCTCTGACCTGGGATTTTAGATAACTCCTTCTGCAGAGAAAATAGATGAGGGCCTATATCATTTAGGGTATAGAGATGCACAGATTATAACACAAGCCATGGCAAAGCTGGCCACCTTGATCACAGGCTGCATTTCAGAAGTCTCAAAAAGTCAAGACTGTTTTGTACAAAATACCATATAATTTCACACCCATTTATGATGTATTTCTTTTACATTATAATAACATTCCTGCCTAGCAAACAGTTGGAGGCATAAATAATTATTCCAAGGCAAAGTCCTACCACTGAGGTCAGTGACGTGAAGAGTATTTGTCAGTGGAGCACTGCAGGACCGAGAAACGTCACGCAAAACTTTTGTGTTCGTGAGTTCCAGCTGAATAAAGACTTTTTATATCACCATTGTTATTTCACTCGCTGATGTACCAGGATATATGGAGAACCTTTTATTTTTAAACTCACAGTCACTAAGCTGACAGCCACTCTAAATGAGATCTCATTGTCTGCACAAGGAGGTATTGCTCAGAAAAGGTCAGCTGCAAATCTTCAGCTCTAACATCTAAAATTATTATTATTCTATTAAAGAACACAACAACCCCAGAAGCTTTTCTAGAAATCTCTGTCCAAGGGCAAAACATGCTGCCAAAGCCACACAAGTCCTCAATGCCCTCTGACTGACAGAAAAGGAGGACGAGTCCTTGTGTTCTAACAGATCCCAGCGATGCTTCCTGATTATACATTGTCAGCAACTCGTTTTTTTGCCAGTTGAAGATCTAATGCTTCAGCTCTCCACAGCCAGCAACTCAAGATCAAAACAGAAAATAAAATGCTCTAACACAGCACGCTGTAATAATTAGGTAGCTGTTTTCCCCGTGGTTTAGAATTTAATTTTACTTTGAATATTTTTGTGAAATACCCAATATAAAGAAAAAGAAGCATGGTCCTTTACAGGTGTTTTGAAACTTTTGACTGCAATTCACAGGTACCACTGTAAAGACTTCTGGAATTATTCTAGTCCCAAAGTTCCTCTTAGTACAAATGTTGGAATGAGATTTTTAAAAGATCCTTAATAGTGGTATAAGTTGTACTCTTTAGTATTGCTCATCTACTGTAAGTCATAGCATGGAGAGAAGTTCAGGAGCAAACACACAGCTCAAAGGGAAAATAAAACCAAGAGTAAATCAGGAAGAAATTTCAGTGGCAACTTTAGCTGCCAAAAAGGAGACACTTCCTAAGTTAGTACATATTGAGCTGAACAATGCGAAGGAGAAGATGTTGTGCCAGTGCAAGGAGACATAAACCACCAACAAGTGAAAAGCTTAAGATGGTTTTTCAAAAATACAGTCCTCCTTGCAAAGATTTGGCAGAAAAGACTAACCACAGGCCAAGCAAAACTTTAAATACTGAAGGTATATATTTTATTTTAACTGTGTGCACAAAAAAGATTAATACAATGGTACCATCCACTGGTATAGTAAGTTCAGAACCTGAGACCACTTGTTACCCATTGCAGAATCATCTTCTGTCTTCCAGGGCAAAAAGCAGATTAAAACATGCAGCCTGTCAGATCAGATCATTTTCAAGCTCCCGCTGGATCACAGATCATGTATAATTCAGAAACTCTGTGTTTTACTTATCAATGTCTTCATACAACAGCATGGGCTTATCACCACCTTCTTTTCTGAAACTCAAGTATTTATGTTTTATGAAGTTTACATGCTCTACTGTCCCCTGATGTCTAAGGACAAAGGTGCATAGCCCAGAATGTCTGTGCCATGTGTACCCAGAATCACCACCCTCATCACCACTGCATTCACACAGAAGGCAAACTTCAGCTGAAGAGTGGGGAGGGAAGGAGGCAGAAATAAAGGACAGAAAAACCTTCCTTAAAACTAGATGTTTTTCAGAACAGGCTTAACCCTGGAGACTGCCTTTCAAGCCAGCTCAGATATCCCACATGCCAGCTCCTTCTTGGGGAATGAGCTGTACCAGGAGACTGGCCTTGTGTTGTACCTGCAAAGCAGCAAGACTGGGATTTGTTTTGGTCTGTGTGATAAGGGATTATGTAACCCACGATGTTCTGCACTGCACATCCCAAATCACCCGCGGGATTTTTCCCCCACAGGAACTGACAGCCTTAAGTCTTTCAAATTGTCTTCAACAGTGGATGACTGGCACACAATTACATTAAAACTCTGCAATAAAAAATACAACGTGCAACTATGAGCCTCACTGCAAAGGCCTAAAAATCAGAGAGTGTGTACAGAAGCAGAATAAGATCTCGGGATTTTCAATCATGCTGTCCTGTGGAGACTACTCTTGCAATATGAAACTGTAAACCTACATGCTTCAGTGATCTCTTACTAAACAAAATGCACTTTATTACAGTCCTCACCAAAAGTATACATGAAAAGCTCCTAAGATGGAAGTCACAAGGGATGTGATCAAAGAGAAACCGAACGTTGCTTATTCTTCCTGATAAAAATCAGACACCCAGAAAATGTCATTTTCCCATAGCGTGACCACATGGAACTGCAGATCAACTGGGAAAACTAATTTATTAGGTCTGGTACTCCTGAAGACTTCCTTCAACCCCAAGAAACAACAGTCAAGTCCAAACACTGTTCCAGCTCCCTTTTGGTGATGTGTGTATTACCTGCCCTTGCAGGGAAGCAGCCAAGCACCTCTGCTGTGAGGAACAGTTTGTTCAGAGTCCAGAAATAGCTGTATTTTTAACTGATGAGATCTGTCTACAGCACAGCCTGAGCAAGAAGACTTTGCCCACCTCCCCCCTCTCCCAAACAAAATAAGACACAATCTTCGCACTAAAACAAGGCAATTATTCTCAGTGAAAAACAAAATTACAAAATGTTAAAAATACTCCATCATCTTGTATATAAGAGATACATCCATACCTAAATTCTATGTATATAAACATGTATCCATGAGAATACATAAATCCCCGTGTATTTCAGGTAATGAATCCTTATATTCTAAAGCAGAACTTGCCTCTTACCTTTTTCTCTTACACATATGTTAGGAAACGAATGACCCTGTGCCCCCTCATGGTGACTGCAGCACAACCAGCCAGCTCTGCTGAATCAGGGTGTTCTACTTGATCCTAGAAAGAAAACACAAACATGTATTTCATGATTGGCAATTCCACCACAAGCCATGTTTTTTTCAACACGTGACTGCAGCCAGCACAGGCACATTTGGCAAGTGCTGCAAGTTTCCAAGGATCTGGATTAGGTTTGCAGCTTTAAATTCAGGGATCTGTGCACTGTGCCACTATTGCTCTCCAATAGGCTGGTGAAAAATGTTGCTAATAAACCCCACATTGCTGCCTGCCTACTGTTATTCTTCCCTTAACTGTAAATCCTCAGAGTAAGGCAGCAACTCCAACTGTCCCCGTGTTCCTGATGACCTTGACTGTAACAATTTATAAACCAGACTCTGAAATTAATTATATTACACTACAATAGGCCTTCCAAAAATAAAGAGCTAGTAGCTTTGATTCTCAACAAAAACTCACAGCCCTCTGAATTCTGTAAACTGTATTCATCAGCTTCCCACTGACTTTGTTACAGCTAAACAACTGGTTTTTTTCTTCAAATTATTCCCCCTACAATCTTAGGCTCCCTTCATTTCCTAAAGGCTTCTTCTCACAAAAAACCCACAACAGCATCAACATTCACTAGCACGGAAGACCAAAAAAAAAAAAAAATGTCTTCAGAAGAAACTGTTTTGCTCTCCCAGCTCCAGCATTTCTGTAGGTCAGGTGCTCATTTTCACAGGCTGCATCTCAACAGCCAGCATAGCTCAAAAATCCCACACAGCCATGGGCAGAGAAAACAGACTGAGCTTATAACAAAAAGAGCAACATGGAAAAAGAGAAGTTAAATTCATGGTTTAAGGCTTGCTGGTGCTGGTATTTTGACCTGCTAGGTAGTTGAAATATTTATTAGTGCTCTGATGAAGATGCAGCATGTTAGAAAAAAATCTTAAACCTCCAGCAAAATGAACAGAATTTAAAAAAAAAAAAAAATCAGTTCTCCATGTATGAAAGCAATATTGAATGTCACACTACAATTTTCCCAGGGTTGTTTATTATTCTTTTCAGAAATAAGCTACAGTAATAATTCCAGGAAACTAATGAACTGAACAGTAGCACTCTGATAGTACTGTTTCCAAACTCAGAATCCCACAGCTTTGGATGCCAACAGAACTCTTCCTGTATACCAGTACAATTTCTGATGCTATATATATATACTTCCACCTCTGTAAACTACGATGAATTTGGGATATTTGGGAAGCAGTAGATATTATCTTAATACAATGTTCTTCCCCAGGCTTCCTATGCATTTAATTCCACTGAAAGTCTTCAGAATAAGGTTTTCCAAAGGTCTGTCATGCAGGGTGGCAGTGGGGAAGGTTCTCTGTGCCACCACCACGGCCTCTCCTGGCCTGCACCGGAGGAAAACAATTCAGTTTTATGACCCCTTCAAAAAGATGGATCAATTAATGACAATCCTGCCTGGGATTGGTGACAAGGCCTGTCAGCTGCACCCCGAACACTGCACACATTTCACACCAACCAGTCCCACACTGACCACAGAGTTCAACCTCCCCTGATCAGGAATGATCAGCCCCCAGCTGACACTGTGCTGACACCGGTGCTCTGAGCCACCAAGCCTTCTAGGCAGTGATATCCAGGGCAACAGTGCAGCTTTATTATTTATTGTTCTCATTCTGCTCCGCTCTCCCCGTTCCATTCTTCCCAGGTAATGACTTTTTTGTCTGTAACCATCGGGCACAGAGGAACACAGATCTAATCAATGGCTCCTGGGTCTCCAAAGCAAGCTTGGAAGAGCTGTTACCTGGAGGTCCTGGAGCTTTTTGTTTACACTTCAACATTTACTCTCAGCAGCCATTTCCCCTCCCAAAGATCAATGCAAAAATCAAAGCTTACAGATATGAATGTAATATGTTTAAACATAAAGCAATAAAAAAAAAAAAGTAAATTATAATGTTTTGGTTTCATGAAAAGGTAAAACAAGTTGGCAACAGAGCCAAACTATTTTTTTCGATAAGAATTTAATGTAAGAGAAGTATATTTAGATAAAAAACTAGGACAAAAAGAATAACTACAAATGAGAGTCAAGAATACTCACAAGAACATATGACCTCAGGATTATTAGATTTTTCACGAATCACACACACTGTTAAAAAAGAGTTCCATCGCACCTGAAAAAAATACATTTCCACCTACAAATTATGGGCCTACTGAGAACTTATTGCAAAGGGAGGAGGCCCAGTGCCTCTGCTGGCCTGGTTTGCTGCTTTGAGCAGTTGAGTTTCTTTTCTACTCTGCTGGTGGTTGCTGAACATCTCTGTCTCCTGCCCTACAGTGGCATCACTCAGGTGCTGCTTTGGTTACACCCTCCATGTCTGATTTCCCTCAGGAACTCCAAGAAGGCGACTACCAATTACTGCAAAAGCAAAACAGGAATTGAAGAGAAATGTGACAAGCTGAGACGTGCACAGAATAAAGAAGGGATGAAGAAGGAAAGCAAAGAACTCTAAAAGTATAGAATTAGAAATACCTTCCACAAAAAAAAAAAAAAAAAAGAATGTAAAAAGTGTTTACACCATTAAATGGAAGTAATCTGAAGAAGTACAAATTGGAATAGCTTATAATAAATGGAAAGAGACTGAAAAAGAAGCAATTTTGATACTATGTTAAAAAAATGCAGAAAATGCTCAAAGCTTGAAGAGATGCTAAAAAATGCTTCCATCTACTGGCAAAGATCCAGCTCCTAACTACACCAGAGATCCTCTATAATGTGCTACCAGGGAGAAGATGTCTTTGAGTAGGCAGGGAGACATTTGCAGCCATTTTAAGGCACTTTATTACGGTTAGATTAGTTGAACTAGGCATTATCTCCAATGCAACCCCACATTTCAATGCTGGTATCTTCACTTCAACCCTTGTCTACACCCTGAAATATCAGATGGGAGATGCAGAGACTGCAGACAGGGACGTGCTCAGGGACCAACTCTGCAGGAATACAAACTGCA